AGGAGCTTTGCACTTCCCTTGCGCTTTTCCATCTTCAAGAAGGGACTCGGGTGCAGGGAGGAGCCATGGGGTAAGCATGCCACTGGGAAGTACTCTGTTAGAGCAGAACTTTCTGTGCTGTGTAACGTTGGCCACAGATGCAACAAGCCACCACAGGGACAAGTTGAGGCCTGGAAGTCACGAGAGGTGGGGAGTAGAATTAGCAGTCGGCCCAGAAACTTGCCGATGGCCACGAGGTTACTGAGCTGTCCTGGCAGCATTGCCAAAGGAGGGAGCCTGCTGAGGTACCCCTGCAATCTGGTGGATCCCATCCAAACCTCAGCAGATGAGTGCAGGCTTGTCTTATGAATCCTGAGAACAGGCAGGAGGGAGGAAAGGCCTGACTGTACGTGAGAAATGCCTGGGTGGGTAGAAAGCCAGGTTTTTAAAGTGAGCTCGTGGAGATGGGGGCGTTGGTAACCACGCAGCCTCCAGCCAAGGGCACCATGTTACCTGACTCCTTAAACAGATTGAGCTTTGATTTGCAGCCTGAGTGAGGGCTCAGGGAGAAGGGAATGGAGTGAGGAACCTCCCTGAATGTGATTGTTGAGTTTAAGGCATCCTGCTGAGGTTCAGTGCACCTGTCACTGGGTGTGTGAATTCCATGAAAATCGGGGAACTGAGCCTACAGTTAAGATTTGACATTTTTTGCACTATGAGAATGTGTGAACATATACGAAATATTGTAGTTTAATTCATAGATCTACTGAGCCTTTTGTTAAATAAAGGAAGGGTTGAATCTAGAAGGTTGTGAGAAAGAAATTCAAAAGGGGCTCAAGATAAAACTTGTCAGTTGTGGTTTCTCTGGTGATCCTGGTGATGGCAGCCACACCCACGTGCCTCTAAGTGTCTTATTTGCCTTTTCTCACCCTGGCCAGCATGTCTGATGTACTCTATAAATGTGAAGAGGAAACACAGAGCACATCACATGATTTGTGTTTGAACAAATCCCTGTTGTCTGTGTATCCAAGGTCCTATGGATGTGACAGATCAGAAGATACATGTTCCCTTAAGACACTGAGCACTTAGAAGGCAGGGGAGTGAGCAGGGTTCTGTCTGGAACCTAAATTAACATGGGCTTTCTCAGGAAGCACAGAGTTCTGTGGAAAGTAAGGAAAATCAGTAAACTCCCAGATGGCTCCAGTGACCAGGGCTTCTGACGTGCTGAGAGCTGAGAAACAAGAGTGGGCCTATTGGCATTTGATTAATGCAGACAAGTTACTAAAATAGCTGGAAGAATACAATACACAAAGAGGATGCAAAAGCGGGATCTGAGGGAAGGTAAAAGGATTAAAGCTGCAAAAACATTCCGTTAATGGATTTCTCAAGCACACCAGCCAACAGGCAAGGACAGGTGTCCTGTCAAACCATTTCCCTGTGAAACCTGATCCATCCTTCTGACTCAGGGCCTGCTCACCTCATTTATAACTGAAGGGCCTGCCCCTAATTCCCAGTGAGGCTCCCTGAGCAGCCCAGAGACTGGCCAGGAAACCAGCTCTGCAGACAAAGGGGCCTAGGAACAGGCTGCTTTCCTTCACGTGCAGCCAACTGGATCTCTCTGCATCAGCCTCGCCTGGCGGCTGATGAGGCTGACATTGTTCCTGAAGCTTCCATCCATCCCTGTCCTCCTTCCTGCCCAAAAAACACTAGAAGAGGGGTTCTCTGATTTTTGAATTGGTCATCACTTCATTACTTTCCCTTTGATCCCTTAGTGAAACTCAACTCTTGCTCCAGCAGCCAAATTGGGAGTTTGTCTAGTGAAGCAACAGCTAAGGCTTAAGTTTAGGAGGCGCAAGGGGAGGACAGGGCCAAGGGCTAAACTTCTGCTTATTTGTTTTGAAGCTGGGAAGGCTTGCCTGCTGGTTGGCCCTCATGGGGAGCTGGGTGCCCAGCTGGGGTGTCCTCAGCCCTGCCTGCATGGGTTGTTGTGCACATGTTGGCATCAGAACAGAGGGGCTGTCTGGCCACATGGCTGACCGGTGCCCAGTGTTGTGCTCCCCTCCCCGCACAGCCTTCTGTCTCCAGCCCAGCAGTTGTCAGAGGGTGCAGAAGGAGCCAAGAGGGACTTAAGGGGGGCATGGTGTTTCTAGGGCTGGGTGGGTGGGGTGGATGCGTGGAGGAGTACAGCTCCCTGCCTGGATAAGCCTGCAATTACAATGGGGCAGGAGCCCAAGGCCATTAAGATGGAGATGGCATTCTGGTGCCAAACTCCTTTCAGTTGCTCACATCTTTCTTGCAAAATGATCTGTTAGGTTTAAATATATTCTTGCTCGAGGCAGATTTCCTTGGAATGAGGTAAAGAGAAGGGGGAGGGTAGAAAAAACTCAAAAACTCCTAGTGGAGTATTTTTAGATTTATTAGACCATTGAAGAGAGTGCTTCTCAGTGACAGAGGAATTTTCCAGATGCCCCTAAGCTCACAATGCTCACAGCTCACTTTGTGGGGTGCCTTCTGGCTTGGCAGGTACATATGCACTGTGCTGAGAAGGATTAGGCCTGGGCACTGTTGAAGTGCATTGCTTCGGAAAGCGGTTAGCAACGTTTAGCTAAAACACACTGAGCATAGGCGATCTACCCTTTCCCATAGTCCATAGCTTCCTCCTCCGAGAGAAAACACATCTGACATCTTGGCTGAGCAGCTCACCCGGTTCTGGGCTGTGTAGCTTGTGGGACCCAGTGAAAAATGAAATGTGGTGTCCTTTATTCAAACATTATTAAGAACTTCAAGATGGTGACAGCAGAGCATTACACTAGGGATTAGCCCCTTCCAAGCCCAGGGCCCTGTGCAACTGGACAAGTTGCATACCCATGAAGCTGGCCTTGGGCTTAGCCTTCCCGTGTACTCAAGGATTCACAGAGCATTGGCTGTATCCTGAACACTGTGCAGTGGGTTTTGGGGTTGGTGGTGTGGAGTACAGAACAGACTTCCCACTAAGAATTTACACTTTAGTTAGGGTCAGATAGCATGCACACACAATTAAATGATGATGAAATAATTCTGTAAAAGCCCAGAAGGCCCTAAACTAATATGGGCTTTATCAGAAAGCACAAAGTTCTGTGGCCAGGAAGGAAGCTCACCCACTCAAAGGAAGGAATCCATGAATCCCACCTTGATCCACAGGCATCACTAGGTCAGCCTGGAGAGTGAAATGGAGTAATAGAGATGAATTAGGCAGTCTGTCATTGTTTTGGCCACACCAATCCATGAACAGCATGTATGTCTTCACATTTACTGGACCTATTTTACCTCTTTCCTGTGATCCCAGAAGTTACCTCTCAAGGAACATTCTATTTTTAAAATAGCCACACTTGGATAAAAGGCTCATAGAAAATTTGCTGTGCTAGGCTCTTCTCTTTGAGCTCACAATGTAGACCAACTCGATTAGGAAATTTGAGTTCACAGGCAACATAAGTGGGCTTCTTGTACCTGATGGAGGGGCCAGCTCCAAAACAGTCATTTACTCAATCATTCAGCATCTACTGGACATCTGCTCGGGCCAGGCCTGGGTTAGGTTCAGAAAACATATGTATGAAGAAGACTTAGTCCCTGCCCCTAAATGATCCACAATCTGATATAGTAATTAAAGGGACAGTGATCCTTTCACAGAAACAAAAGGGCTCTCCTGCCCTTCTGGAAAGTTCCATTAAGTGGGAACCTTCTGAGCTCACTAAATGCCTCAATCACTGGACTCTCCTTTGGTGACTGTAGCTTGTTTTTAGTAATTATCTCCTCTGTGAGAAACCTGATTCACCCTCCCTCCCCCACTACTGTTGCCTTCTCTGGTCTTCAGTGGAAACAACACAGGCAGGTGGGGTCTTGCAGTGGAGCTGTGGTGAGCTCTGATGGTATCAGTTCTCAGGAGTGGAGCAGAATGTGGTGGCAGAATGTGGTGTCATCAGCATTCAGTGAGGGTGCCTCTAGGGCCTTTTCTAAGTACCATTATAAAGAGAATATCTGGGTAAACATTTTCATCTCTCTTATCGTACTCTCCATTTGTTTTATTCCCTCTCTTATGTTAAATTCAGCTACAGTTCTGAAAACCAAATTTGGAGTGTGGTTTTATTACATAAATGACCCATTCTGTTCAGCAATATCAGTGATTCAGCTCCTACAAAGACAGTTTTGTAGTTTGGACTATTGGATTGCGTGGGAAGCATCCGGCTTTTGTTCCAGCTAGATCTCCATCCTCTCTGTTTAGATCTCAGTCTTCTTGCCACTGTGCCAAGCCAGGAGACACGGCCACTATGCTGTCAGGGACTGCAGCCTGGTGTCGGGACCCTCAGCTCCCCCATATTCCCCTGCCAGTAAGCCACACCAGGGAGATCCTTCTTTGCCTTAGAAAACCCTTAGGGCATCCACAGCTCCCCACCCCAGCCCTGAGTTGTAGAGTATATATCCTGGGTACCAGGAACCACCTCTGGTTACAACCATGTTGGTCACTGAGCAAAATCTTGGGCCTGTCACTTTTCACCGTGGATGTCTGAGAAGAACCAGGTAAGGCTGTTCTTGATTGAACTAGAGAAGACATAAGCATTCTCTTTTATTGCTCCCTTCTGTCTCCATTAGCTGAGCTCTCCATTAGCTGAGCATTTGTGCCTTGACCCTGACTGGGTTTAGTAGGACCAATGGGCCTGATCAACTTGCCCCCATGTCTGTGTAACAAAAGAGGCTGGTCTGCATCACAGGCACCTCCTGATGGAATTATCTACGTCCATCCCCAACCTGCAGCTTATACATACCAAGTTGCACTCCTATACAGTGACAAGGGCCACACATTCCATTCTTTAAACTCCCATAGACAACAAAAGGCTAGAGGAAGGGCTCGGAGATCCCTCAGGAAGCTCCAGTGTGAGGTTTGGCAGCTGTTTTTTATGACTAAAGGCACCCAGACACAAGCCACCCTGAAACATTGCATGTCTCCTCCATGAAAGTCTAACCAGCACCTTCCCTTCTCTCCACAGATCTCCAGGACTTCAAGTTAGACGTGCAACATGTGATTGAAGTAGATGAGGGGAACACAGCAGTCATTGCCTGCCACCTTCCTGAGAGCCACCCAAAAGCCCAGGTCCGGTACAGTGTCAAACAAGAGTGGCTGGAGGCATCCAGAGGTAAGCAAGCAGGAGCCCAGAGGCCAAGGCCAGGTGGGGAAGCTGGCCACTCCTGAGCACTGCCTCCCAACCCCCATCAACACCCAACACCCTCTCCTCATGCTGGCCAACTGTCTTCAACCTTGATATTTAGGGATTGGCTTTTATTACGGAGATCTTCTGCCCTATTGTGAGAAATTTCTTTGTCTTTGAGGCCCTGGAAGATGTTGCTGAGCTCCCGCCATTTGATCAGGGATGTCAGCACAGGGTTCCAGATTTCCTCCCAGTGTGAGCTCCTGGCCACCAGGCAAACACAGAAAGGCTGCCCAACAGACCCAGCCATTCCTGCAGCTGCAGGGTGGGAGGTGGAGCTCTTCCCCACACAACAGAGCAATCTTCTTAGTGGGTCTGAGTTTTTCCCTCTCCCCATTTTCCTGGTAATGCAGCCATCTCAGAGGAGGCCAAGCTTTGAGCCACAGAATGCCAGTGGGGAGACAGGATGTTTCAGCCACAACTGACCCTGTATCCAAGGCCAAGCAGACTCTGCTGACTGCACACCACAGCTCAAAATGGATACCTTTTAAAATATCCTATAAGTTTTAAAATATTTTTATTAACTTTTTGGTTATGAAAGAAGTATATGTTCACTATAGAAAATATAGAAAACAATTTTTTTGAAAGGGTAAAAGCCCTAATCCTGCTCCTCAGAAATACCTGGAGACCAAGAGAAGAGCATTGATCTCTACCATCCCCAGCAGGAGGCCTGCCAAGCCCACAAATGTCAAGGGCTTCTCCCCATTCTGTCTGACATCTCCCTAAGTAGCTCACACCCGTGGGGCAGGCCCACACCAGGCTCAGTGAGCCCAGGGTACAGGGACACCATGACTCCCAGGGCAGGCCACCAGAGAGCTCAGAGCTGAGGGCCAGTGATCCACCTGCCAGGATCAACTCCATTCAGTCACTGGTGTGCCCAGCAGCGTGAGTCTATCTCCTGCTGAAAGAGGCTGAACACAGCCTGGGGCCCCACCCCCAGGCACCCCTGTCCCAGAAGCAGACCCGGCCTGGTAGGCCCCAGACACAGAGGGAAGGGCTTTAGTGGTATTCATGGAAAGTGTCGTGGTTGGGAGTCAGAATATTTTTGCCAGGTTGCAGAAACTCAGTAGTGAGGTGGCTCAAAGCTGTACTGTGCCAGAGACAGATGGGAAGGCCTAAAGTCTCCCTCCCTCCTGTGGACTTGTGGGAATGGCCATCCCATCTCCCATGTCCGCAGCAAGGCCCTCAACTCTAACAGTGGCTGAGGCAGCACACGGGCGATTTTAGAGACAAGGAAACAAAACCTGTGAGGCTATTACCTTGGCCAAGATCACACGGTTAGTACAGGCAGGTCCAAAGCTTGAGTCCAGGTCTGGCCGATGCCAAATCCTGCTGCCTTTCACCCTAGCCCAGCTCTTCCACAAACCTGTGTACTAATCTGGGGGGAGGTAGCCAGCTAGTTAGCCAGCGCTTTAGTTGTTTCACTTCCTGGCACTGTGTCCCACCGGTGCGAGGTTTTATGGGGAGAAGAGCATTTCCCACGTGGGCTGGTTAAGACTCAGGTGCACAGCTCCCAGCTCCTGCTCCCCGCCCCCCCGCCTTTGGGGGAGCTGTTGGGTATAGTATTTTAGGCCCAAACTCACCCCATGCTCCCTTCCCCTGTTCTTTCCTCAGGTAACTACCTGATCATGCCATCGGGGAACCTGCAGATAGTGAACGCCAGCCAGGAGGACGAGGGGATGTACAAGTGCGCCGCCTACAACCCGGTGACGCAGGAAGTGAAGACCTCGGGCTCCAGTGACAGGCTGCGTGTGCGCCGTAAGGACCGGGTCTCCCAGGTGCAGGGAGGGGCCTGGGGTGCCACAGTCCGGGCTCCAGCTTTGTGCTTCCCGAGGTGGGCATGAGTGTTGTGGGGCTCCAGCTCGTGAGGCACCCAGGACTCAGCCGGGGTGCAGGTGCCTCCCCCAGCCCAAACGCCAGGCTCTCACAGCCCATGGCCCTCTCGGGCTTGGCT